ATGTAAGTTAAATATCAAAAGCTTATTTTGCCTGTTTGACTATGTGCTGTGAATATGTTAATTCTAATAACCAAACATTTTAACTCAATCTCACAGATTTTAAAAAATAATTTTCTGTTTAAAAGTTGCTCTTTGTTTTCTAGTTACTGTAGATAGTTTTTTTTTTTTTTTTAAATAATATATGTATCCAAATGTTGTACAGTATGCATGACCTACTGAAAGCAGACACAATACACTACCAGAATATTGTGGTTCAGTTACTCTAATGGGATGTTCTTCAAAAATCACTGTAGAGTGCTAATAATTTACAAGGACATTAGTATAATGTGGCTGTAGCCTCGCCTCGCGTGACTACAGGGGTTGTACACGTTCGAACAGACTCGCAATTCGTAACAACTTGGTTTTTGTAGTTTTTAATCATGAAGTCGTTCACTGAAATAATCAATAACAATGAATCAAATATAATCAGCTCAAATAATAACACTAATTAATATATTTCGTAGATAATCACATCGTATTCATTTCGAATTACAGTACACCTAAGCCTAGAGTATATTATTATAAACAGTATACCCAGTAACATAACAATAGCAGTTTATAGTATAAATCGCGTAACATACGCGTTGCCGCCAACAACGACGCCACTCTACTACACGCGCGAGCATCTAGCTCGCAAACTTACAGTCACTGTACTGTATGCATAACATAAACGTAGGATAGGTCTAGCATATACCGTCAAATAAACATTACTCTTTCTGATAAAATAATAAAGTTTAGACTAAATTAATGCAATCATGTAATGCCTAAAATTATAAGTTATAGTATTGTACGGTAAACATGTCTTGATATCTCTTACCAACAGTTGTTCAACCCGAACTTTGTATCAATTAACCGAGACAGCACCTATCGAAGCCTCGCTCCGCTGTCTGCCTGACGTCAAGTGACGCTCACAAATAAACTTTACTCAAAATTGAGGGCGTCCTCTTAAAGAAATTATAAATAGCCGCTACATTCCGGCCCCAATGAACTTACTCGGTATGGTCATTTAAAATTAATCAAAAGCGGCTCATTTATTAGTACAGTATCTGAGTGCTAGTACATACATCTCCATAACTATGTGCATTTAAAATTACAATGTTTCTTTCATTTTAACACAATGAACTATATATCAATATCTGTAGTAATTAACAATTTAACATGAACTTTAACAAGCAATACATAATAATTGATGTGAACGATACATGCCATGCATGTTTAATCGGTATTTGCCCTTTCTAACAAACATAGTTTGGCCACTGGCCTCATCAGAACCTTAGAGCCTAACCTCACTTCTACTTGACGCACCATACCATCTTTCCCTGGGAAAACCTTTACGACCCTCCCTAAATGCCATTTGCTTAGTGGACTAAGTCATTAACCTTTATGTTTCTGTTTGGTGTTGTCCACCTTTGTCTAGTTTGGAGTAGAGGAAGGTACTCCCTACGCCATCTCTTCCAGAATATAGAGGCAAGATATTGCGCCTGCCGCCATCGCCTTTTACCATAGTTGTCCTTCTTATCAAAAACACCTGGTGGTAAGCTAGGACTCTGTTTCATTAGAATTAAGTGGTTTGGGGTAAGTGGTTCACAGTCTCTTGCATCAAGGCTAATTTCTGTTAATGGCCTTGCATTAAGTATTCCTTCCACCTCTGTCATTACAGTTGCTAGAACTTCGTCACAGACGACTTGTTCGCCAAGGAGGTTCTTCAGAATCTTGCGTGTCGACCTTATCAACCGCTCCCAAGCACCGCCCATGTGACTCGCTGTTGGAGGGTTAAAAACCCACTCGATCTCCCTTTCGGGGAGGAAGTTCTCTATTTTCCGCTGCTTCAGTATTTTAAGATTCTCTCTAAGTTCTCTATCCGCACCATGGAAGTTTGTACCATTATCGCTATATATTTTCTCGGGTTTGCCCCTTCTTTCGATAAACCTTCTCAGTCTCATTTAGAAATGAATCTGTGTCCAACGAGTTAGCCAGTTCAATATGTACAGCTCTCAGTGTTAAACAGGTAAAAATGCAACCATAGCGCTTAACCTTGCTACGCCCTTGTTTCGCATAAAGTGGACCAAAATAGTCAATGCCTACGTATGTAAATGGCGGTTTATCTGGAGTTACCCTCACAGCTGGCAGTTCTCCCATCATCTGTTGTACACGAGAGGCATTTCTTCGTTTACATGCAAAACAGTTGCCAATCACCTTACGTACTGTAGCACCACCCTTAATTATCCAGTATTTCTCTTGCAAAGATGACCATGTCATGCCTGCACCTGAATGTCCAACTACCAAGTGATGATATTGGATCAGTAACTCGGTTACATGGTGATTACTTGGTAGAATGATGGGGTGTTTCAGGTCGGAGCATTACATATTCGCCCTCCCACTCGTAAAATTTCATCGATTACGACTGGGTTTAGCTTCTGCATGGATTTGCCTCGATTTTTGCAGCACAGATCATCTCCAAATTCCTTGTGCTGAACAAGCTTAATTATTTCCATTTCTGCCTGTTTTATTTCCTTAAGTGACAGAGTTTGAGGCAATGTACCAGCATTGACTCCCTTTCTCTTGTTAAGTAGATATTTCTTAAATTTCAGCAGCCAAGCCAGTCCCTTCAGTAGCTTGGTCCAAGTTGAATACCTAAGTATTACATCCATCATTGTTGCTTGGCATGCTAAATTATGTACAGGTGGAGTTTTGAACTCAAGATCTTTGTTATCGATGCTCACTGGCATAATTGGCCACTCTGTATCTGCCTTCCACAGAAATTCAGGACCTCTAAGCCACCTGCAATCCTCAGTGATCTCGCAAGCATGGATTCCTCTTATCCCTCATCTGCAGGGTTTGACTTTGTGTCTACGTATCGCCATTGCGAAGGATCCGATACAGCATGAATCTTTTCTATTCTGTTTGCCACAAATGTGTGAAAGCGTCTTGATTCGTTTCGAATGTATTGTAACACAGATGTTGAGTCAGTCCAAAATGTCACTCCTTCTACGGGTATCTCAAGTTCCTTTCTAATCGTTTGGCTAAGGGAGCGTCGCCAAATTATCCTACCGCGGTAAGCCTTAATCTACCGCACCGCGGTAGACACAAGGCTGTATATGCAGAAAATTTGCATATCACATTGCATACAAGTCTACCGCGGTAGATAGATGTCTCTTATACACATCT